CTTGCACCTGGCACGGGCACCGTAGCCAGACCGTGCCCCTTTAAGGGCTCTGGGGCCGGGAGGAGGGCAGATGAGTTTCCCTGGTGGTGCCTAGAGTGGCCACCAGGGAAAGCTGGGGAGGGCTAGCCTCCCACTAGTTCGAATTAAGTGGCCACACTGCCCTTAATTCGAACTGATTAATTCGAACTAGGCGTTAGTCCTCGTAGAATGAGGTTTACCTAGTTCGAATTAAGCGCTCCGCTAGTTCGAATTAAGTTCGAACTAGTGGTTTGTATGTGTAGCGCCTATCAAAGTTAATTCGAACTAACGTCTGTTAGTTCGAATTAACTTTGTAGTGTAGACATACCCAGAGAGAGCAGCGGGAGGAGGAAATGCATCAGGAGACAGGAGTAGGTGCTGGGAGAGCTGGCTTAAAAGCTGGCTCCCCCCAGCACCTGTTCCATGTTGCCGCCTGCCCCCTCTCATGCAGAGGGGGTGCAGGGGACTGCCTGCAAAGAAGCCTCTGCCAGTGGTGGCCTCAGGCTTGTTGCAGGCAGATGCCGCTTCACAGGAGTCCAAGCTCCTCACAGATAGAGGCTGCTCCGCATCCCACAGGCACCACCACCACCACCACCCTGTCCGCCATGGACAGGGGCTGGTCCACAAGGGAAGCTGGTTTTTAAACTGGCTCCCCTCATGGACTGGCTTCCGCCTGGCACCCCGCGCTGCTGCCTCTGAACAGAGGCATCTATTCGGGCTGGCAGGACACTCCCCAGGAGTGGGGCCCAAGCATACTGGCTGTTGGCCCCGCCCCTGGGGACTGTAGAATAGTTGAGTAACCGATAAGAATTCATGAGCTTACTCGGCTATTCTCTTACCCACTATCTAACATCCCTAGTGTTCACTGCACTTCTTCTCAAATGGGGAAAAATCCTTATGTATTAGACTCTGGCTACGTCTATACTACAATCCTCTTCCGCAAGAGGAAATGCAAATGGAGCGCTCATTGTATATGTCATGCTCTCATTTGTATTTCCTCCTTGAGACCCCTTTGTGCAAGAGGATTTTGCGCAAAAAAGTGCTATGTAGACAACTCTTTTTGTGCAAAAAACCCCTTTTGCGCAAGAGATGTTCTTCCTTGTTTCCTTGCAATAACCTCTTGTGCAAAGGGATTTGGGGAGGAAATGCAAATGAGAGCATGGCATATGCAAATGAGCACTCCATTTGCATTTCCTCTTGCGGAAGAGGATAGTAGTATAGACGTAGCCTATGAGTGGATGTTTACTTCCTGTTCTGCAGATGGAAACTTAGATGTCAACAAGTCTGACTATTCTTTGCCAGCAGAGGGTATGTGCAATTAAGTTAATAAGAAAATTTTAACCATATTTTTTCTTCCCAGATTCTGCTGGTCTCCAATGGAGGGAAGTTCATGAAAAAGACACTGATTGGTGAAGCTTATATCTGGCTTGACAAAGTGGATCTAAGGAAAAGAATAGTAAACTGGCACAAACTGATGGTCAGCTCCACACAAACACATTAAGCAGACATGTCTGCTTAGGGCACTAAACCTTGCAGCATCTGCTGTAAATGGCATTACTCCAAGACTATAGTTTGATATTGTGTTTAGGTAGGCTTTCAGAATACAAAATAGAGAAGATTGGGCTCTGGGCTAAATAGCACACTTAAATGAGGGCTAGTACACTGGTTTTGCTGTGAAAAACAGCAACAAAAAAAACTGAGCCCAGAACTAAAAGCGAGGAAGTTTGGAAAGAAGATTGATATGAGGGCTTCTGGACATTGGACTCTTTGTGGCTGTCAGGAAACTAACTCCGAAAGAAATAATGAAGGCTTGAAGGCAGCTGTTAATGCAGAATTGGCTGCAGTCAGAGATAGTGTGTCTGAAAGAACAAGCAGGGTTTCTGTAACCAGAAGGAGATCATTTTATGCAATGGATGACTGGTTTTTCAAATCTCACTTATTAGAAGTGTAAAAGTTGTTCCTCTGCACTTTAGAATATCTGATAATTTGTTGTTGTGAGATTATGCCACAGGACACAGAGTGCAGGCTGTTTGTAGTGATGGGTACATTATTTTACATGATTTTTTTTCTTTATGCAAAGAATATATACTATAGAGAATCAGATCAAACTGATTTCATTTTGTTTTCATGTGTAAACAATGGATATAGGTCTCTGTCCTGGAACATAAAAATTAAAAGCACATCCATGGGCTATATTTAAATGTTTTTGGAGGCTGGTTCAAAAGAAAGGATCAAATGGAAATTGCACTAAATCAGGATGGGGGGAGGGACAGAATGTTTTCTGTGTTAATGAAACTGCAGTTCAATCTTCCATTTTGGGTGGGGTTTGTCTCTTTAAGTACTGAGATCAATGTTATAATTTTAACTATTCCATTTTTGTCTCCAACCATCTGCCTTTAACCGGAGTCCGTTAGACCATTTAAAGGTAGCAAATGTTTAAAATACCACAGTGTATGCTCCAGAATCATAGACTCATTGTGTTACTGCTACCCTGCGATTTGTGGGATTCTGGATCAACATCATCATCAGCGACACACACTACAAGAAGGAATAATAAGATGTTTACCATCTGGGGATTGCAACATTAATGAGGGTCAAGAATTTCCTTCTAAAAACTCAGGTGAATGACTGAAAATAGTCCATTCAAAAGTGGCTTGTCAGTTATGAAAGATGTAATTAAAGGAAGGTCACTGGCAACACTAACTTAAAGTTGTGTCAGAGCTTCCGAGCTAAGCATTCTATTTTCAGGAGATTATAATACAGCAGTGACAATTTCCTTTGGACTGAAACTGTGCATAGGGGATTTTAAACTGGGCATATTTTTCTTCTACCCAGATAAAAAGGAAAAGGAAAGTGCTTTCATCATTCTTAAAATTTTAGAACTATTTAAAATAAATTGACATGAGATAAACTCCTTACCACTAAAAAAATGGCTTACTTCATAGCTAAGTGATTTAGCAGGGGATTACCCAGAAATATCTCTTTTTTTATTAAAAAGAAAGTGACCAAATTAAAAATACTGGCAAGTGTTTACTGTTTTTGCCCAATAGGCACTTTTCATACGCCATTTTAAGTACCCATGTTGTTTTCCACTAGGGATAGCACACCTCAAGATGACTTACTTGGTAAAATCAAATTATTCCTTGGGTTAAATTTTATATTCCTTAAGTGAAATAGGAATTGATGAGAAACCAGATTGACTCTGAAAGAGGTATTTCAGTTGTTTATGACACTTTTCTACATAATTGTTTTCCATTTATTTATTCAATATTAAAAATAACACCATGGGAAACGAATGCAATATAGAGCAACAACAACAAAAAAATTAAGGATGCACAAACCAAAGAAAGACAAAGTTAAGGCTTTGGTGTACCACATTTTTGCTTGCAACACAATGTATTACTACCACAATGCCATAAATTACCATAAAGACACAACATCATTGTCAATAGAAGTGTGGCTTGTGCTTTGGCTTTTAATTTCTTGCTTTTGTATAACCCAACTCTGAACTTACGTAATCACAGTCCATTGTAATCACAGCCTAAATATTGAAATTTTATATGGAGAATAAGATTCTTCAAAACCAAAATCCCCAGCCAAACCAAAAATCCATACATGGGATTTAAAAAAAAATCTTTCGAGTAAGTGTTGTTCCTTTGTTGGGTTATTTTAAATTCCTGATGGCTACAGTAAGTCCTTTCTTTTCTAAAATGTCCAATTTCAATTACTGTATGAAGTAAAAGCAGCGAGATGTGCAATTTTGTGCAAACTACTGGTAATTTTGTTCTTGCTAAGATTTATTATGAAGACAGCAGGTCATGCTGATGGTTGCCATGGAGATTTCCAGCAGGCGCTAGCACTAACTGGATAGCTTACTAGGAAGCCTATAATCATTATTCTTAATTGACCAAAGTGCTCAGGCATGCTTTGCTCTTACATGCACTCACAAATGTTTCTGATACTTTTATGATTCAGAATTGTTTGTTTGGGTGTGGCTGGAGCTGTCCAGAAAAGCCACAGTTGCTTTGGAATTAGCCCTCAGAAATGGGTTTAATTCATACATCTTTGTATACTAAAATCCAACTGTGATGTGTCTGTTGGAATCCCACCCCGAAATACAAAGGGTAGTGGCTATCAGGAAAATTGGTCTCTATTACAAATGGTTTGACCAGAAGTAGAAGGGAAAGGACTCTTTTAATGTCATGTTATCCATTGCAAAGAGTTAGTGACAGAGATGGATCCACACACTTTCCCTTTTGTGAGACGCCATCAATTCAGAGGTTGCAAGATTCTTCCAAAGTGTGCCAAGTTCCTTTAAAAAAAATCAGATTTCTAGGTTGCACTGGAATCATTCTATGCAACACTGTTTCATGTTTGAATGCATTTTTCTTTTTCGGGTGAATGAAGTCAGCAAAAACCCTTCTTGTGACATTTAAAAAAAAATAAAACTCCAAACAAGGACTATTAGTACTTTTTACTTTTTTATATATATATTGCGACATATTCTTTTCCCTTTCCCCCATTTTGTGTTTCTTCTAGTGGCTGAAAGTGTTTAGAGGTGGCTACAGATTTTATCATCTCTGAATGATAATTAGTGAATTCACACATTTCTTTGAAGATGTATATTGTGTGTCCCTTTCCACACATTTCTTTGAAGATGTATATTGTAACTAGGCAATGGTGAAGGCATTTTAGTATGTTTTATTCATACGTCTGCTGAATCAACAGAGATTGAAGCTGCTTCTTTGTTCAAGGCCTTGTACAGTGGAAACAAGCTGAATTATGAGAAAAAGCACAGTGTATGTGTTTACAAATAACAGGGATTTCTAATGTGGTCAA